AGTGAGATTATCACCATCTGCATCGACAGCCTAGTAATATTAAATAACATGTGATGTTGGATGAAAGGCCAAAAGTTTGAGTAAATAGCTTATATCAGTCAAAACTCGTAGTGAAATACATATACGGAATTGAATTCGCAATCAACCACAATACTTGATACTAACCGTTGCTTGATACACCGATGCACCGATCAGAGCGCCCTCACTGATGCTTGCATTGTACGGGTCATTAAGAAAGATGGGCACTTCTTCATTGACATTGCTGATATCGACAAACACTTCTGCAAGATTGGATCTATAATACAATCAAGTCATATCCGAATTAAATGAATAATTAGCTAGGACGTTGGATAGTTGGTATACCAAAGAGGCACTCCAAACAACGAATCGATTGAAACTCTTATATATCTCATATTCTATAAACATTTTTTATTTATTATCTATCAGCTAACAACCAGTTTTCTCAATGCACCAACATTACGAATTCAAATACCTTTATACATTTTGTAATACAATCATAAAATACACATACCTTGGAATATCCCCTTTGTCGGTTGCCATGACAATAACAACATAACTATCAACAGTTTCGGCGTCTAATAACCCATTATCATTATTTATATACAGATCTCCAGTACTGTTGTCGATTCTAAAATTGTCCATTCCGCTATCAGTCACTCCCCATATACTGTATTCTACTTCGTAGTTATTAGCATCTTGATCGTCATCCACAGCTTCGACCTGAAACACAACAATCGATCAAACAAAGAGAAGCAATGTTTGTTATATTACGCACAATAATGTCAACATTTCCAGTTTTAATGATTGTCAGATTGAGCAGAAAATATAGTACATGTATACCGCATAACACAATCATACTACGCATGCTATTGTACATGAATAGTTACCGTTATTAGAAATGTTTCTTCTGTGATGTCTTCACTGACACTTGCACTATATGGCTCTCCTGTGAATTGCGGTGAGTTGTCGTTGATATCGAGAACAGTGATCGACACAGTAGAATATTCACTTCTCCGTTTTTCGGGCGTATCTGTTTCAATCGCGTACACCTGTGCAGTAAATCATTAAACAACATATTAAATAAACTATGCTTTGCATTATAGGCATAGAAAACAGAGGTGTTCATCTGTCGGTATTTCTTTGAGGTAAGCTTTTTTTATAATCCCCTACTCAATTAATACCTTAGGAAGACTGACAGCAAAGTCAATGTTACATCCTCTCCTGTGCTATTAGCCAAAC